GCGTCATCTTGGCCTTAATATCTATTCTACGTTTCCTCTTTTTACATAAAAATATAAAGAGATCACTAGCATCCGGCATTGTTGTGTAATCTCTCTCATATAAATATATTTGCATTTCGAGGCGGTTTTGAAACATGTAGTCGATCTTAAATAATAACTGTATTCAATCCTTTCACTCGTGTGATAAATGACTGATAGTTGAATTTTTTTCTTAAAGATATAAGTAGACCTCATCGTGCCATTGAATTTCGCTTAGCCTTCCCTCCAAAAAAGTATTCTCAATCAGTTTGGATTGCATTTTTGATATTTTCTTGGCCTCTTCAGCATCCTTAACTTGGTTCTAACCCGTATAGTACATCTTATATTTTTAATATGTTATTATTACGCCCCGCTGCTATAGGCACAAGTGGGTCACAGGGCAGACATGAATTTTTAAGCTAGCCATGCCTCATATTACATTTTGTATTGGGATTGTCGATGAAGCGAATTTGTATTTGCCATAAAATCGGCTACATTATTATGTTAGTTTGAACAGGTCTCGAAACACCCTGTAGATCTTGAATAAGAGGTTTTGAGTCTGGTGAACAGCTATACGGTTGTATTAAAGATACAGTTTATATACATTAAATTGATTGGGATACGATACTTAGGGTACTGAAAATGTCGCAACCTAAATTATGTCCTCCTTAGTCTAGTAAAGCAGAATATATTTCACTATGAAATGCTCTCAACTTGTTCATACCCATATTGTCTATATACATACAAGCTGCATTTTTATTACAGCAACATTGCTCATACGTCCAACCTAAATTATTTATCTTTTCAATAGAACACAGATGAGATCATCATGCGTATGAGTTGGACTCAACTAAGTTCATTTAGCAGTATTCGATTAATGTGTATATATTTCAAAAGTCACTTTTTCAAATGCTACGCTCCTTTATTTTTACTTGACTTGGCTATAAATCTTATTTGCTATAAATCTATTTTTGGTCATTCATAGTCGCAACCTAACTGAAAAGGAGCCATCCGGTTATTGTGAATGCTGCTCCGTTTCATTCAAAAATCTGCATGAGGTCAGTCCTATTTTCTTTTTGATCGCTTACGTGCCAGTGGATCATACGCATATTTTAAATCTCTATTTGCACTTATGTATTTATTTTGACTGTCCAGCATCTTAAATGCTCTGATCACCAGCAATTTGCCTCGAATCCTGAGAATTTTCGACTGCTCGATTCAGTTATTGAAAAATTGCCCACGTTTTCCGAATTCCTCGCTCAACGCTCCAACCAACTCTCACCGCGGCCCAATGATGTTGAATCGTCTTCTATGCCCTCGTCAGTCTACCGTGTGATATCACCTCTTGCAAAAGCTGATGAAATTGCCAAATCAAGCACTTGCAAGCTCAAGGTTACTCTTTTTATCATCACATATTTTACTTTCACGATTGAGTTCGTATTAATTATTCTTGCTCAGTCGCTAATAATGCTTGCACTAGCTGCAGGACTCTCTTAACGGGACTATTCTGATTCACTTTTTTAGGCTATGCAATTTTTTATTTCCCATATATGTGAAATGGCCTAATTATTAAAAATCCCTTGATAAGATATTTTCTTTTTAAAGGCCTTGCTTCTTCATGCCTGCTAGATGCAAGTGTTGACACTATATGCTTTTTTCCCACTGATTTTACTTTGAGAGTTATTGTATTTCGTTTTCGCAACTTCTCACATTAAGGTATCACTCCTCGCCTATATTTTTGGATCTATTCTTTTTAGAACTAAAAATAGGGGCAAGGAGTAATGCCACAGCGGTTGAACAGAAAATTGAATAAGAGGATTGCCATCAATTGTCCCTTTGATAAGTTGTAACGGTTTACGATGGCGCCTCTGATGATGCCGACGAAACGTTTTGGAATGTACCCAGCTAATAG